ACATAACTGGCTCCCAAGTCACTAAGTATCACTGCTCTAACCACTGCACCACACTGGATCTCATTCGACAAGAAGTATCTCAGTGAGTTCCTTAAGACCTACCAGGGCCCCTGCCACACGGGGGGGACGAAACATGGGCAAAGTGCGGCTTTTTAAAGCCGCACCAAAAAAGACACACGGCGGCGGGATCACATAGATCCCCTGAGCCGCCACGCACTTCCTCCCCGGCATGATCAGATGCCAGGGGGAAGCCACTGAAGGGGGAGGGAGCCAGCTGAACTGCGCATGTGTGAGCATGCACAGTTCAGCTAGGAGCCTCGGAAGCGCCGGCGATCCCACGGCCACGCTTGCCGCGGCCTTTCTGGTAAGTCCACCTCTAGGGGTGGTTCTTTTTTGCAGCAGGTTTTCGGCCGGAAGGGCCGGATCGGGGACGGGTGCGCGCCACTTCCCAGATGTTGCGGTGAGATCGCGCCCGTTTGCGGCACCCCCAATCCGTCCCTCTCCCGACCCAAAACCTTCCGTGTGACCGGGGCCCATGAATATCATTTGATGTTTCATTGGATCAACATGCAACTTTATCCTTTCAAGGAAAAGCAACATACATAAGATGGGGGCTATCAAGGAGTTGTGGAAAAGGGAACAATTTAGGACCACCAACAACCCCAATCTCCCAGGATTCTATAAACTATCATGGATTCAAGCTGGTTAATATCTCCTTTCCCCTATTTTTTTCCTTTAACCAGAACCCTAGTCACATGTTACATGGCATGCAAGTACATCTGTTTATAAGAAATAGCCATAGCCAATGTGCCACATTCCCTCTGCCCCTGAAACCAGGGACCAGTGCCTGAATAAATGTGAGGTTTGTGTCTCACATTCAATTGTGCATGCATTAATGTAACATGAGAACTACCTAGGGCTGCCAAGTGGGGGCGGGGAAACCCCCACTTTGGAGGGCCGATTTCCGGAACTCCGCCCCCCGATTTCCGGAACTCCGCCACCCGAAGCTGCGCTCATGTTGGGGGCGTGGCCCAGATCGTCGGGGGGAAACCATATGGTTTCCCCCCTGACGATCTGGGCCACGCCCCCAACGTGAGCGACGTAGCATGTCACTTTCTGTGACGTGCTGGTGGCGCGCGCATGTCCTGAAAGCACTCCCGGAGCCCGACAAGGCTCCCCCGGCGGCAAGGGTAAGTACACTTGGCAACCCTAGAACTACCCAATGCACATTTAAAAAAAAAAATCAAGTGTACGCTCTACATGGACTACGTATGCATTCATTGTAACAGGGCTCAAGTCTCAGCTGATCTCCACATTCCATGCATCCTGGAGCATGCTTAGTCCTCATCTGGCCTTTTGCATCGTTTCCTTTTTTAGTTGTTGTGTTTTTTTGCCCCTCCTGAACCAGAAACACCCCCTACATGGTGGATGCCCTGGATTTGCTGCTTTCATAATTGCCATGTGCCATTCAGTTCACTAGATATAGTGATCTACATCCACTACGAAAAGTAACAAAGCTAGTCAACAAATATGTTTAATTAGCAAGCCTGTGGGGAGACAGTTTGTTCTCAGACATCAAGGACTGAGAGAGTTAAAAGAGTATTGTAGGCATTGGTAAATGGTCTAAATGGCTGGGAGCCTCCCTTGGATCAGTTATAAAACACAGACACACGATGGTGCAGCTGTCTCCGAACCATGCTCTCAGGACACTGCTGGTAAAGGAGAAGCACTAGAATAAAACAAGAGGCAGGAAAAACAAAATATAATTGTTTTGACTCCCAGGCATCTTCCTATCTAGATCAGTGAGCATCTAATGCCAGGTTAACACCAGTTTGAAGTTGACAGAAATACACATGGTTATAACACAGAAACGATTCTAGGTGTCTAATATGTGTATAGGTCGTGTTTTTTTAAAAAAAGTTGTCCTGCAGAATATGAGTTAAATGCAATTCTTTAAAATAAACTATCTGTTGGTTTGGTCTTTCAAGATTTGTGCCCAGATATTTTAGTGCTGCACCAAAAATAATCTTGTTGCACAAAAAACCAGACTGAAACAACAGAAATAGAACATACAAGGGGCGGACCCGCGATACTCGTGGGGGGGGGAGGGACCTCCACACATGAGGCAGAGGAGGAAGCAGCAGGAGGAGGTAAGTTCCTCCCCATCCCACCGGTTCCTCCCCCGTCTCCTCCATCCTGCTGGTTCCTCCCCCGTCTTCTCCACCCCCTCCACCCCCCGCTCGATCTCCCCCCTTCCCGTTCCTCCACCCCCGGCTCCGAAGCGAGGCCCGAGCGGCTTGCGCAGGGGACGCTCTGTCACTTTTGGGGGGATTTAAGTATCCCCCCGGTATTTTTTCCATGTTTTTAGATTTTTGTGCACACCTGGGGACTGCCCCAAGTGTGCACAAAAATCTCCCTCCCTCCCAGGTGTCCCCGATGCGCGGATTTAGGTATCCGCACGCAGGGGGCGCCTTTCGCTATTAGATATATAGATGAAGCCATGGACCAGCGTCACACATTGCACTCTACTAGAATCCCCTCTTGACCAGCAGATATATAATAAGTAAGAATAATAAAAAAGGGAAAATTAGAGTTGTCACTCCAACTTTATTCAAAGATAAATTCAAAATAAATGTAGAAGTTCCTCCACAGGATTGGAAGATCCGAGATAAACCAAAAGAGCTTTTTGATAAGATTACTTCTCAAGGGATTCCGTACATTAATATTGTTTATAACAAGTTCTCCATATTTGGAAGGTCATGATGAATTTAGATCATTAATCCAATTATAGAACAACAATTCTTGATGCAAAACAAGGCTGAAAAAAGTAGCAGCTAGAAGACATGAAAATACTTGGATTTTTTAAAATTTTTTTATTAAAATACTTGGATTTAGTTGTCTTTCATGCTCCCCCTCTCCAAGCCAGAAAGAAAAACGGAAGAAAGAAGTATATGCATCCGTGGGGTGGTGATGAAGAAAAATTAGATTTCCATGGTAACAAGCTACAGACTAGGTAACAAAAGCCTGTTAATAGTTGTGAAGCAGTTGCCAACATAAATTTTAGTATGAGATGGCTCTCAACATAAGCTGTTGTCTTCACCTAAAAAAACAACAGGTATTAACTCAAGGGATTCCAAAAGGCCTCCAGAAACAGAGGCTCTGAAACAAACAATCTGTCATATTTTGAACTGAACTAAGCCGACATTAATTTAATGACACCAAAGATGAAGTTTGAGAAGACTTCAAGTGATTTACATACATTATCTCCAGTACCTTACAACAGCTATATGAAGCAGACCAATATTGTGATCCTCATCTTGCCAATGGGTTGGAGCTTCGGTTGAGAGAACAGCAGCTTTGCTGAGCCAAAATTTAGGCCAGAGGCTTGTCAGCTCATCAGGCTGAATTATCTCTGAAAGTACACTAGGAATTGCAGAGGCTGGGGGACTCCCAACCAAGGCTCCCTCCAAGGAGGACAGCCTGTCATTTATTTAACTACAATGCAGTCCTGTACAGAGAGTGATGGGTCATGTGCTACACTGTCATGTTGGTTGTGCTGGTCAATGGGCTTAGAAGGGTGCAACTCTGTTTAACTGCATTGTAGCTTGGATTAAGCCACTTCATCCATAAAGATGCAAATGACATAAGTATGGGATCCTCTACACAAATGATAACCCAGTAACACCATAATTACTTAACCCAATGATACCTAAAGGATGAATCTATATGTCATGGAATCCTTATGGATATATATTCATGCCTACTTTGGATTCTGGTCAGACAGCTGTATATGGAACCCAAGGAATTTTTTGTCCTAGAGGCTAAGACAGGTATATTCCAAGCAAAGAAAACCACTAGCTGGTTCTTACTAAAATGCCTGTGAACCAACGTCTTTACCTTTCCTATTTACTTCCTATGCCAATTATCAAAGGTGCATAAATACTTTGGAAATTGATTAACTGGTACACAGATCAACACATGATGTCCATGTTTTAGGCAACATGTCACAAAACACAGGCTTAGGCCCCTACAACGATACACATGCATGCCAGTATGTAAAGGTGATGTCCATGGACCAGGGGTGGATTAAGGCTTACTGGTGCCTTAAGCACTGACCAATCTTGGTGCCTGCCCCTCCTTTCCACACTGACCCAGTCCATTTTAGCTGTTGACCTGTCTGACCAGATATACAATGCAGATTGCAGCAATACAAACATTTATTCATATGATAACAATGTACAAACTAAGCCAAGCTTGGGCTACTACATAAAGTTCTTTTCACCCTTTTCCCAACTTTGTGGTGCCTCCTTTGGCCCTGGTGCCTTAAACACATGCTTAGTCTGCTTAATGGTTAATCTGCCCCTGCCATGGACTCAACAAGAGAGCTAGGCAGGACGCATCAAAGGCGTACAATCTACAATACTCCCTCGAGTTAAGAAACTCTCATGTCTTTTTTTATTGTACATGTAAGGTACGGCAACAGGTAGATCCCTGTTCCATACCTTCTAATTTGGTGGAATGTTTATTAACACATTAGGAAAGACCCATTTTAATTGCCAAAACATACCCAGAAAAGTTAAGCAAGTGGCTATTTTACTAAACAGAAAGACAACATTGGTATGAATGTTGAAACAAAGTGATTTACGTTTTTCAACTCCATACATTTGATAGCAGTAGCCTTTACTCCCTCTAAAACATTCCTACACAGAGTAATGAGTAAAGATTACTGGCCCAAGACACTCCCATCTTCTTGAACAAACAGTTATCAAATGCACTACTGACCTACGAGCATTTGTATACAAATCTTCAACAGTCAGAAGCTAGTTTATTCCTAGCACACCGATTACTGTGTGCCTTCTAGTCCTATGCATCAAGCATGAATCCTGAACATGTCCCCAAACGAATGTTAGCTTACTTACATTACGTGAAACACCGGGGGAACCAAATTCAAAAGATTGCCAGGAACATTAACAATCTCCCATCCAAAATTTCAGCCTTACCTGTTTCAGTAAGAACTTGTCCTCTGCATTAACCTTAAGAGAAATGGCCAGGTGGATGGCAGACAAGACCACCCCACTGATGACTGCAGCCCTCATCCTGACGGGCAGCAAGGTGTAGATACTGTAGATGAAAAAGATGGTCCACCAGATGCCCTCCGAGGCGCTCCTGGGCTGCATCAGCAAGCAGCCCACGACTTGCACGGCCAGCACCACCAAAATGACAGAGTAGCACATGAGCCACATGTGGTCCTGGTGGAACTCGTTCCGGTTGCAGACGGCTCCCAGGGCCACCATCACCAGGATGGCCAGGGAGAGCACCACCACATAGGGCACTTGGTAGTGGCCGTGAACGGTGTGGAAGAGCAGCATGACCAGGCACACTAGGACCAACAAAGCCATCAGCATGGTCAGGCTGCTTTGGTTGAGACGGAAGAAATACCGCTGGTAGAGGTGCTCCAGCTTCTCCGACTGGAACTTCTTGGACCTGAAGATCTCCAGCAGGCCGCCGCAGCAGCTGCTCAGGGAAAAGCCGGCCTCGGAGCGCCCTTCCTCGTCCAGTTGCTCTTCGTCCTCCTCCAACTCATCGATCTTGGCCCTGATCCGCTTCTCCTCCAGGCCCAGCTCCACAGAGCGCGGGCCCACCTCCCCCTGCTCCCCGCCGTAGCGCCTGGGGCTCGTGGCCGGCGGGGGGTCCCCGGCGCAGCGGGAGCACTGGCTCTTGTCCCCACCGTGGTCCTGCCAGGCAGACTTGGACCTGAAGCTGGTCATCCTGCAGCCACTTACCCCCCGGCCCCTGCCGCCGGGCGGCTCATAGTCCTCCTGGCTCCGCCACCGGCTGGCCATACGGGAAGACTTCTTGAGGGAGGCCCTGGTGGGAAGAGGGTAGGAGTAGCCATTGGCCCGAGACACCGCTTCCCCCCATGCAGACCGGTGCCGCTCTGCACCCCCGCCTCTGGGCACCACCGCCGTGGGGGCTCCAAACCCCGGAGGGCTCACGCTGTTGGGGCGGGACATGCCCTGCGGGGCCAGGGGAGGGAAGGAGGGACAAGCCACAAAGGCAGCCGGAGGGAAAGCAGTCTCAGTCATCCGATTCCCCCAGGCCCGGCCGGGAACAGCCTGATCCTCCCAGTCACATCTCATGCCCTACACGGAAGAGGCACGGAGCACTCCCAGGACTTCTGCCAAGGCGGCCCCGACTGAGCCCAGAAATCCACTCCTGAGGGACGGCCCAGGCCAAGCCCTCCGATGCAGGCAGACCAGTCACTCAGCCGGCTCTCCTCTCCTCCCCAGAGCCCTTCTGGGTCCAGGAGGCAAAGCCTTGAGGAGTCCACCGCTGTCGCCGTCGTCCCCGGTCATGTCCCCAGACCTCTGGCCGCTCCTTGGCGCATCAGTCCCGCCGAGCCAGGGCCACGCACCGGGGGGAACGCAAGCGGCGGCGGGCGAGGGCAGCGGGACTTGGCAAGGTTTGGGCGGCGGGAGAAGCGCCCCGGGCCCGCCTGCCTCCCCGGCCTCAGGGGAACCTCCTCAGCGCCCCAGGGAGAGACTGGAGAGGCGGCACATCAGAGCGCACGAGCCCGCCCGCCGGGCAGAGGCGCACGACTCCCCGCCCGCCCATTCGGCGCTCGCCACCGGGGGCGGCAGCAGCAGCAGCGGCAGCAGCAGGTCCCTCGCGCTGGTCATCTGCACAGACGCCGCCGGGGGCCACCGCGGAGCCGGGGGCGCGGGGGCGCCGCTGGGGTCATCGTCCGCCTCTCCCTCTTCGCTCCCCGACCCGAGAACGACCCCGCTCGCCTCAAACGGGTCGGAGGCGCTCGGCTACAGCGGCCGAGGCGTCTTCGCGGGAGCCAGAGAGGGGGTGGGCTGGCCGGGGCTGCCGGGAGGGGGGGCGCCGCTTTCGCCCTTGGGACAGCACCTGCGGCGAGGACGGGAAGGGCGAGACCTGTAGGAGGAGGCGAATCCCAAGGCGAGGGGGGTGGGCGAAGCGGGAGCCCCCCGGACCCTCGAGGCGTCTGTCTGCAGCGAGCCGAGCCGCGCGGGAAGGAGGGAGGTGGATTCTCCGGCGCACGCCGCTGCTGGCGCTGCGCTGCTCGGGGGCGAGGCGTCGCGCGCTCTCTCCACTGCGGGCGCTCCGGCTCCGCGCGAGGGCCAGGCACGCGGGGCGCTCTGCGGGAGAGGGAGGGAGGGAGGGAGGGGGCGCGGTGCTCCCTCCCCTTGGGGGTGGCAAACGGCTCCCCCCGCCGCCAAGCCCGCTGCACCGCCCCGCTCCGAGCGGCCGGCTCGGGTCTGCGTCGAGGGGCTCCTCGCCCAGACGACGCCGGCCGCCGCCGCCGCCGCCGCCGCCTCTTCTCTCCGCACGCGCCACTCTCCGCAACCCCGCACCTTTCGAACCGGCCTTTGCACGGCCCCGCTTCGCCCCAGGCGGCGGGTCGCCCTGGCCCCGCCCACAGCGTGGAGCGATTGGCTCTTCCTCCGCGGCCGCTTTCTGCCATTGGACGGGCCCTGCTACCCGGCCCGATGAGCGGCTGCTCGCCCAATGGAGGGCGCCCGGCTGGGGGGAGAGAGGAGGCGGCGAGGGTGGAAGTCGCGGCCGCAGCGGGCATCTGTCTGCCTGCCCCCCTCCTTCCCCCCCCCCCAAGACCGCTGCCAAGACTTTTAACTCGTTCGGGCGTCTGACGGCCGACTCTTGGGCCAGGAGGCCGGCGGGTCGTGGGGAACGCACGTCTGTCCCTCTGAGCTTTCCTGGGTGAGGACCGATGCTCCCTCTAAGCTGTGGGGTCTTGTGAGCAAAAATTCTACTTTGTGAGCTACTGGTCATTAAAGTTGTGAGCGAGCGATTTGGCTACTGCATAAATTAGTTTGCTCTGGAGCCATCCTTCCTGAGCTGAGACAGAAATGTGTGAGCTGGAGGACAAGGAACTGTGAGCGAGCTCACACTCACTCAGCTTAGAGGGAACACTGGTGAGGCTCACGTCGTCAGAAGCATGGCGTTCCCAGAGCACCTGGATGTCTCACACTATGAAGGCTGAGTCCGCTGTCTGCCCTCTGTCCCAAGGAGAGCTGCCAATATCCTGCCCCTTCAGGAGATTGCAGGAGGAGATTGGATTTATACCCCGCCCTTCACTACCCAAAAGGAGTCTCAGAGCGCGTTACAAACTCCTTTCCCTCCCCACAACAGACACCCTGTGAGGTAAAAGAAGAAGAAGAGATTGGATTTATACCCCGCCCTTCACTACCCAAAAGGAGTCTCAGAGCGCGTTACAAACTCCTTTCCCTCCCCACAACAGACACCCTGTGAGGTAGGTGGGGCTGAGAGAGCTCCGACAGAAACTGCTCTTTTTCAGGAACAGCTGTGCCAGAGCTTGTCACTGACCCAAGGTCACATCAGCAGGTGCAAGTGGAGGAGTGGGGACAGAGATCAACATCATCTGGGAAGTAACATCCCAGTAAGCCCCTGGGAAAGGGACAAGACTTGTTTCATCTGGGTTATTGGCAACCCTAGGAAGTAACAATGACATATGAGTAGCAATTCACACACGCAAACAGAGCCTGGGTCAGATCACGGCTGTGGCAGGGAAAGGGCTTAAGCCTTCCTCCTCTAGCCTTTTCCCAACCAGCAATGGTTCTGGGGTTACAGTACTTGACCCATTGGGGAAACCACCTACAAGTCCTTGGGTTATCCCAACAGACAGATCCAGAAGATGGTGGGAGAAACAGTCATTCTTCGATAAAAACAGCAACCATACATTTGTCGAGTTTACTGTTTTATGGCTGTGGTCACACGGAGCATTAGCCACGCTACAGAGACAGAAGATAGGCGGATTTTCCAAGCGCGATCACACTGCCACATCTGGGGCGAATCCGAGGCTTCCCGCCGAAGATGCGGGGTAAAAAACTAGTACCTCCAAGGTACTAGTTTCCAGAAACCACGGGGCAAGGGCGGGCGTCTGATCACGTTTCCGGTGGCATCTGGCACCCGCCCATGTCCCATCGCGAAAAGGGTTTTTTTCCCCAAGTCTCCACGGGATGCGCACAAGCACCCAACAAAGCATGCAAACACTTGGGGTTGTTTTTTTTTTTTTAAAAAAAAGCCGATCCGCTTCTTTGCCGTGCCACAGGAGTGACGTATGTTCGGCCCCTCCCCCCAACCACGGGACGTCGGCGGGACGTTTGATCCCACTGCCGCGCGGTAGTTCACTCCGGGGCAAACAGCCACGCCTCCCCCCCGCGCGATATCCGGCCCGTGTGACCGGGGCCTATTTACATAAAATAATACCTGTACTCAAGGAATCCTATTGAGAAAAGAAGCCAGGTTCTGCTCATTCTGGACAAAACTCTATAAATTACATTTTCTAAAGAAAAGAGTCTCAGTGATATTAGGGAAATAAGCGGATGTTGGAAGAGCCAAACTGAATAAGATTACTGATCATCTTGGTTTGAGCAATATGCAGTTAGACATCCCCTGAAAGTAAGTGTCTATGCCCTGTCTGTTGGCACTCCTGGGAACTGTTTTGGGTACTGTGTGAAACAAGATGCTGGACTAGGCAGAGCACTGGTTTGATCAAGCAGGGCTCTTCTTAAATTATGAGAGCAGGGCACAGAAGCCAGGGTCTCTCCATGTTGTTATCCTCCAGCAGGGGTCATTTCCTACAGGAGAGCACAGGAGCTGAGCTCCGGCAGTAAAGAGCCCAGGGGGTGGGCACATGCAACAAGCCCCACCCCCTGCTCCCAGCAGCCCTCAGTCAGAGCAAGAAGCAGCCAGGTAATTTGCAGGGCACCCCCCGGCCCAAAACAGTCCAGTGGCACCTTTAAGACCAGGTTTTATTCAGGTACAAGCTCTCCCTCCTCTGCCAGGACAGATCTGCACGTTCCCCCGCCCCCAAATAGCTAGCAATCCAAAACAGTCCAGTGGAGCCTGAGCAGTGGACGTGTTGCCATCTGACACACTGCCGGTTATGTCAGGGGGTGTGGCATATGCAAATAAGTTATGCTAATGAGCTCCTGCACCTCTTTTTCTACGAAATGACCCCTGCCCTCCAGCAACTGGTATTCAGAGGGTTCATGGAGAGTCTGTTCAGTCATCATGGCCAATAGCATCATGGCCAATAGCAAGTGAGAGTTCTCATGTCCCTTGACTTCGAGGTCAGTAGTAGTATCCTCAGATTCCAGGTGGGGAACTGAGGATGAGAGCATCTGCAGTTGCCCAAAGCAACCTGACGAGTTTATGTGGTGACTTTGTGCCAGAATCCAGGCTAAAAACTTTATTAATAAAAGAGGGAAAATACAGGCACAACAAGGTTTTGAATCCTTGAGTACCCACAGCTCTTCCCTAAGGTTACAATGGGAGACATAGGGCTTTATACTCCATATGACGCTTACAAATAAATCATAATTATTGGTTCCATCAAACTTTGTCACATATCCGTCACATCATTCTGATTGGGCCCAAACCTGTGGGTTGGATTTTCACAGGCAAAAATGTACCTCCTACAGGTAAACAATAGGCCTTCTTCTTCTCAGGCTGTGAAGTTCCAAAAAGTATCTAATGTAACAGATATGGGTACATCATGCAGTATGTTCTCCATCTAGCGCAAGCGAGCTGACATCAGGAACATGCGCAGTAACAGCTAGCCATCACGAGCAAGGTCATAAGCAATCAGTTACTGCCTGTCAGCATTTAGTGTTTTCCCCAGAATGCATTTAAGCATTGAACCAAAGTGAATACCTGAATATATATTCATAATTGATTTCTATCTCTGTAATTAGAATCATCAATGGCACTTAACATATCTGTATGTCTGTGTATGTCATAGGTGCTAGCTGAGTCCACTAAGGTTAGTCTACTAAGGCAGACAGAGTGCTGAGTGCATAACAGTGTCACATATAAACTGTGCGTACAACAAATGTATAAACAATACTATGTGAAATGGTCCTAAAAGGCAAACCCTTTTTTAAAAATCAGCTGAAGAAATCACAAGCAGCCTAACAATTTCTGTTATGTTCCTAGCAGAGGACTCTTTTCCAAAACAAACAGCCTTTCCTTGTCTCAACATCACACTCTATGTACTATAAACACCAAGCATTTTAGTGCTCATTTTTCATCAGGTGGTAGGTTAAGGTTATGCTATAAAAACTGTGTGAGGCACAGAAGGTCAAGGCGAACAT